GATTAGAAAATGCATAAACACTTATACAAAAAATGTTATTGCAGTAAAAGACACATTGTCATCAATCCTCTTCAAAATACTTATTATTTTGGACACTCACTCCGTAACCCTTGCCATTTTCCTCTTTCATGAGTATTTTTAATTCCTCTTATTGGCTGCTTTGTAGTCCTGAACTGATTCAAGATGTTTACCTTTCATGACTGACTTTGAGGGAGATCAAGAAGTTGCAGTGACAGATGCTGTGAAGAAGGTGGTTGATGGTACACCATAATGTTTTTACTAGCTTGTGTTTCCATTGGATGGCACTTGGTAGCTGCATTAATTGTATATTTGATTATATATTACAAATATATATACCTATATATTTGTACAGATAGGTATGAAAGAAGAGTTTCAGAACAGCTTCAGAATGTAGTAAGAGTGATAGGCTGTGTTCAAGGCAAGAGGGAGGATTGGGGGGGAGGTAATGGCAATGTGTATTTTACTTTAGTACTTTAAAAAAATTTAAATACACACCGTATTTTTTGAAAAGTCCTTTTATACAATTTAGAGGAAGAGTTGGTGTATGGTTTTACTTCATGGCTGGCTGGCTCCAAGGCACAAACATCATAATAGGAAGGCATGGCAGAGCAAAAAAGCTTTGATCATGATGGGTGGAAGGCAGAGCAGGCAAATGGTACCAGAAAGAAAGAAGCTAATGACCAGATCTAGTACCTAAGATTACACCTCCATGACTAACCCAAACTCACCCAGAAGTACACTTTACTAATCTCGTGGGTGGCTCCCAAACCAACCAAATAGACAATTAATGCCTATTGTTATACAACAATTAAAGCTGATGCTACTTATTCCTTGTGAGCCTGCAAAGGGTTGCAAATGTACAGGGACACCACTAATACAATAGAATTTCACTATTCCAGTGAGCTATAAGACAAAGAATAATTAAGATTTCACAGCAAATTTCTTCATGAGTTGTTTTTCTACTGTCATTAAGTACTAAGTCACATGCCACTACATTGACATTTTTATTTTGTGTGACAAAGTTTAAAGTATATGGTACTTTTTATGGAGCTGAAAAAAAAGCATAGAAAAACAGGAAGGAAACTATTTTCAGAATAAGCTAAACATACATTCCCATGAAGAGAATGAAGCTGCACGTAGATTTGAATTCAAAAAAAGGAAATTATATGGAATATTTTGTGAAAGAATGTAAGCTAAAATGCCCAATAAACAATAAAGGTAAAATTATTAGACACTAAAAAGACAGCATTATAAAAACTTGGAAATCTGTTTATCTTTAAAACTTTGTTTAAACTTCTGTATGGATGACTATCACTTGAATAGCTCTCCAACTAGAATATTTCTTACAAATACTGTTTGGAAGAATTACAACTTACACTTCTCAGTCTAACAGAAATGCTTGAGTCTGTGACAAAAGACTATACCCTGCATGAATACTGAATATCCTATTTCTTTCTATGTAGAGTCAATTTACATAAAAGACCCATTTCTATAGGCTCACATGTTGTCAGTGGTGGGAACTGAAAACATTAGAGCAAACAGACTGAACAAATCAGGATATGATTCAAAGCTCTTATGATTGACATGGAATACCTCTAAATCTTTAAAAAGGAACAGCTTAGGAGGATAAAAATGAAGGGCAAGTTCTATGGAGATACGGTTTATTTTCGAAGCAAGTGAGGAGATACAAAATGGGAAATTCATCTGAAATATACTATAGTTGAAATCAGGCAAAGTTTAAAAAATAAACTGAAGCAAAATTTTTATGTAATAATAAAAACATAACTTAGAAATTTCTTAAAGAGAACAACTGACACAAATTGAGGCATATTTTTCAAATTATGTTATAGACATATATACATAGAATTAGAGTTTTTTAAGATAAAAAGTGTAATACATTTATAATTTTAAAAATGTATCTTGGGCATTTATAAATGTTAGTATTAGAACTACTGTCTTAGTTATTTTTTCTTCATTGCTGAGACAAAATACCTGACACCCAAAGGTTTATTTAGCTCATAGTTTGTAAAGGTTTGGCTTCATAATCGGCTTGCTCCAAGGTAGGGTGGCTTGTCAGAGAACAGTTCATGGCAGAAAGAAGGTAGCAAAATAACAAGGGACACCACAGCTCTTTCTATTCCTTGTATCTTACCCAGGCTGCTTGGGTGCATAGCACTCACTTCCTTAACCCTAGTGCCCTTGATCCTAGTATTGTACCATGAATCAATTCCAGTGTCACTCACTGTACATCCAGTCACTTCTGAAAAAGCCTCGCCTATGCCTGTATAAGGCTTTGGTAGATATCTAAATACAAGCCATAACAGTTATAATGTATTTAAAATCAGTCTTCCTAATAAACAGTGGGTAATTGCAGTGCTTCATTACTTAAAACAGTGCCAAAAATTAGACTGCAGGAAGATATGTTCTTTTGTACTTGTACACTAATGTAGCATAAATTTATTGAGGGATGTCAATATTGTAAAATAAGTAATGAGTTTTTACATATAATACTAAAGGAAAACTGAGTATTTTTCAGAAAGTGCTTCATACTTTCTGAAAAACTGCTGAGACAAAATATAAAACTAAAACTAAGAAATGAAAAGGAAGGGCTGGGGAGATAGCTCAGTAGAATAAGTGCCTGCCTGGCAAGCACAGGGTCCTGAGTTCAATCCCCGGTATCACACACACACACACAAGTGATTTAAAAAAAAAAAAGAAATGACTGGGAAATCAACCCATTATTAAGCAAAAAGGGAAAAAGTAACAAAAAAGTATGATAAATACAAAACAAAATAAAATGTAAAAAATAAAGAAATGATGTCATTATAAAAATATTTCTATTAAAAAGAATATGACATATATTGAATTATTGCTACCTATGCATTTAAAATGATATATTTTTAATTTGATATAAGACATAAACATAAATACAGCATGAGTGCAGAATATAGATACACATATATGCATATGTACATATACATACCAAATTTTACAACACTGACTGTAAAGAGATGGAAGACAATACATCAAGTTAATAATGACAGTTAAAGAAATCAGGCAGCGATATTAGACAAAAGTTAGTTCTACATCTTCAACACTGGTAATGGTAATGTTCACCATATCAGAGTAAAGTTTTTAAGAAGTTCTTATCTTTTAAGAGATTACACACTTGTTATAGTTTCATATCTAGATGTCCCTTCAAATCCTCATGCAATCATAGGTAGGGCTTTTTAGGAGATGACTGAATCATGAGGTGTGTGTCACTCATCCTTGGATAGTCCAATCGTGGGTTTACAACTAGGTGTAAGGTTGGGAGGTGAAACCTGGTGGAGAGGGTTTCTTCCTGGGGGTGTGGCCTGGAAGGGTGTTTGCATATCTTTCCTCTCCCCCTGATCTGGCTCTGCTTCCTGCTGGCCGTGCCATGAACTATTTCTTCTTCATGATGCCCCTCTGCCATGCAGATCACAGACTGAAACATCTACAAACTGTGAGCCAAAATAAAGTTGAAGGAACCTCACTTCCTTCAACTTGTGGGTATCGAATATTTTGTCCCAGTAACAAAAAAGTAATAAAGACAACATTGAAAAATTCACAGATTAGATAATAGGTTAATTTGCTTTTAACAGGTCTAGAGAGGGACTGGGTAGGTTAAATAGTGGGTGGCAGTCTAGGTGAAATAAGACTGGGTACATGAACTATTGAAGCTGGGTGATAATATGAATCACATGGCTTTCTTATCCTACTCAAATGACACAAAGGAAAATATACTAACAAAAGCAATTAAGTGACATTGACAAAAATAGAGGATTTTTTTTGGTACCAGAAATTGAATTCATGACCTTGACCTTGTCAGGTAGGCATCGTGCCTCTGAGCTACACTGCTGGCCAAAAACCAAAGTTTTAAACTGTTATAAAAACCCAATAAGTGCAGAGAGAAACAGATACAACCATAAGAATAATGAGACATCAGTAATCAAAGATTAAGCAGAATAGAAAGAATAATGATACTGACAAATCAGTCAGCAAACTATATTCCCACTCACATAAACATGTATCTGCATCCAACAAATGGAAATATGTGTTCTTTTCCAACTTTAAGGAATATCCCCTTAGTTGGCATGCTATTCCATAGGCTCAGACTCTTATGTGACTTTTCATAATTAGACTGCATTTACATGATACTTGTAACATACTTCATTAGGTAGCCTAGGCTTTTTGAAACATACATCATTCCTTTCATTCTCACATAAAACAAGGAGGCTGGTATAAACGTAAAATTAAGGTTTAGCTATTTGTCCAAAGTGGCAAAGAATGATAAATGGCAGTCAGAATCTGAACTCAGTTCTGTTGAATGCCAGAGCCTGGTTAACTTCCTTTATGCCATAGTTCCTCACAACTGTTTTTTTAGAACTGGGGACTGATCCCAGAGACGTGTACATGCTCCACAAGCATTCTACCACTGAGCCATACTGCAGCCTCTTCACAGCACTCTTGATTAAGACAATTCAAGCTCACCAAAGTCTTTCTTTCAGTTATTTCTTCAAACTTACGACTTTAAAAATTAACCACTAGATTTTGGTAGAAAATGGATGCAAAACATTCCTGAAAGGCCCACAGTTTTATCTATGCGTGTTCTCCTGAAACCTTTTCCTGAACATCATTTTTCTCCTAAAGGCTTTCTTGTTTTATTTATAGGTATTTTTATAAGTACTGTGCTGAGGATTTTTTTTTTAACACAATGCAGATGTAGAAATCCCTGGAGTTCAACTTTACCAGAGAGCTTTACAATGTTTAACATAAACATGAAGATTCTTTCAGCCCACTGGCATTATTCCAATCCTATCTCCGTGGCTTGGGACAAGGCGTACTTTCCTAAATACTCATCAGATATCCTGAGTGTTGCTTCGCATGGAAAGCCTGAGTCTGTTAAAGAATAGCTTGAATAACTTGCTACATGCAAATGAAAGTACTTTACTCACCCAATTCGTATTTTCAGCATGCCACTGAATAACTCAGGGTTATTGGAGATGATCCAGCCAATATGTATGACCAGTTCTTGTTGGATGACTGCTTCCCTCTCATCATGGGTATTACACTTATAATAGATGATGTTCTTAATCACTCTTGGAGACAAAGGATTAGAGATAACTTCTTCTTCATGCCCAAAGGCACCCAGAGTTACCTACAAGTGGCAGAATCTTATTGTAAAACTTTCCTAGCTACTAAAAGATAAAAAAAAAATCAAAGCTCAGGATGACTGACAGGCTGAAACTGCTCTGTATAAGCTACCGAATTAGGTAAAATAACTGTTCTGCTATTTATTAAAACGGCTTTCAAAGAATAACTCACATTGGAGTTCATAATGGTTCACAGTCTGGCCTAAAATATAAGGATAGGTGAGGGTTTCAGTTAGGGGAGTGAAAGTGAGTTGATATAAATAACTATTAAAATAAAATTGTTTGAGATGACTTTTGTCCTAGAAACTCCCAGACAAGCCACAATGTAATGAATAGTTTTATTTTACTACAGTCTATAAAATCTAGTATTTGAAAAATATAGTTTTTCTTTCTTTTACCATTTCTCAGGAGAAACCTTCTGCTCTTTAACACTGTGTCACCCAGCTCTTGCATAGCCCTCAGTTTCCCTGGCATAACACTAGATTGATTTCCACCCTTCAGAAAGGAATGAATGAGGCTGCCAGAAACTTAAGAAAGGAAAAATCATAGAAATGGCAAAGAAAATTCAGAGCAGAAAGTGCTGCTGGAGCTGGCAAGGGAATAACTGGTCTCTCTCTCCTCTCTCTGTGGTCTTCTGCCTTCCAGAAAAGCCTGAAGCCCCTGCTTCTCTCATCTTTTCTTTCCATCTCTCTTCTATATATAGTGAACAGTTATATGAGACAGGGAATAAAAGCATATCAAAGGGTATTTGTATTTTCAGAAATGAAGGGAAATAGTAGAAAATGGGGTCTTTTACCCCAATTTTGTAATGCAGTGTAATAGCTACTTTATCATATAACAGTGATATCAACCAGTTAGCCCAAGTATGATTACTTTTATTACAATGCCACTGTGTAAAGAAGAAAACAAACCGGAGGTACATCATTGCCTCTGAAAATGATGACTAAACCACTATTTCACTCCAGAGAGCATGAAGTAATCTAAAAGTGCTTTACATAAACAATATTACTTCAGCTTTCAAGGAGGCTGAGTACTCTATTTTTGCCCCATTTTCATCTCCTGTTTTTCTAAAGAGTTATAATATGGTCAATGAATGGCCTTCCTGCACCTGGTAATGAATCTGAACTGCTACCCTCTTGGGCCTATCCAGCTCTGAAGGGAACTATCTTCTTGGGAGATGTGCTGATCTGAGGGGCAAAGGTCCAGCTGTAGCCTCAGAGCAGGGCAGGATAGGCTCAAGGTTTCTGGCATATGGGAGTAGGGTTTCAGGCTTCAGGGTACAAGTCCCTTCTAGACTCTGTATAGAACTGACAGGATCTGCTCCAATCAGCCCTTGTAGTGTCAGGTTCAGTGACTATGAAGATCTGCAAAGAATGTTCACATTAACATGTTCACATGTGGCAGAACTAACTTCATTTTAGATACATTGCAGGTACCTAAAATCAAAGAAAAATAGCCTACTTAATTTTCTCTCATAGTTGGAATAGTCCAGGGGGAAAAATATGACACTTGGCTGGAGGCAAGTAAATTATGTCCTGTACTTATGTCTACTTTAGCTGACAAATGGGGAGGAAAAGTTTACCTCTTAATGATTTATAGAACACAGAAGATAGCATATATGAAAAGTAACTTTTCCATAGGAGTTTTCATTAGTATAATTATTTTTAATTGCTAGTCAAAATTATAGAAAAAATAGCTTATTACTCTAACATTTCAGAAGCTAGCTACCAGGAAGACATAATTTCAATCCTAATTAAGAGCATTGAGATGTCAGCCACTGGTTGATTCTATTAAAGAAGGTTAAAGTATTTCATATTACCAAAGCTTATTATCTCTCTAGGTTAGCTGTCATGAAAACACAATAAAGCATACACATTGTCAAAAAAAGAGAAAGCAAGCAGAAAAGCAAGCAGGTTTCCTTATAATCAAAGAATGATTCAGCCAGGAAATTAGAAATTACAGAAAACAAGAATGAGCAGCCACATCTCACTCCACATATCCACATGCATATCCACAGAGGCTTGATTGAACACATATTTACCAAGTGTCTAGTCAAAGCCAGGTCCCATGCTTGGCACACTGGGACATGTCCTGGACAAGATAGGCTCTGAGCTCAGGTGCTTACAGCCTACCACCCAAAAAACTGGAATCATGCGCAGACTGAGACAGGTCATGAGCCTGGTATGGGAACCCAGAGGAGAGAGACACTGCAGCAAACTACAGTTGGCTTTCTGACAAGAAAGTGACAGAGTCAGCGTTGGTGGGTAGGCAGAAGCTGGAGGAAGAGATGGTCTGGGGAGTCAGTAATACAGGGAGCAGCACTAGCCATGCAGACTCTGGCTCTGCCTGGACACCAGTGTGTTCTAAGGCACTGGAGGAACTCAGGTGAAGCAGAAGAGGAAATGTGTCCTACACTACTCACCTGTCTTTGCTCTGCCTAGCCTATACCTTCCTGAAATATTTTAGTAAGTAGTATTCCAGTTTCTGTATCTGTACCTGCACTGGCCTCAAGTTAACACAGGAGTTAAAAAGTATAGCTCTGGGGTGCAGCAGGAAAAAGAGAATGGCCCACTTGGTAACTGTGCAGCTTTAAAACTCCATCTTCCTTACTTAAGAGACTTGTGACAAAATGCGTGAGCCACTATTAATCTGTCTATAAGAGGTCTATGACACTGAGTTGTGTCAAATTTAAAATTAGGGATTCAACCCAGGAACCTTTGCAGCTGTGATCAAATGAGTGTCTGAAAATCAGATACTTACCTGTTTGCCCTGCACTAAAACATTAGTAATGGATGGGGCCAGGCTGTCCACTACTTTATTTAAAAGACTTGCTGCACGGCGTACAACCGACCTGGGGGCAAAGAAGAGAGTAGGCCAGATGTTCACAAACCTAAAAGATGATGAATGCATGGGGCCCTGATTACACAACCTTAAAAACATACACATTTGGGTCTGCCTGCGATTACTTGGAAGAAACACTACACCCAAGACATTGGAGCTAACAGCTGAAATTTTCCAGCTGGGAGGAGTAGCCAGAAGTAGGGAGGGAGAGTCCCTCACTCTTAGTCTGCCTGCAGATGGTGTCACAGGTACTGTTGATGCCATTATCAATTTTAAAAGGAAGAAAAGGGAGCCTAAGTACTTAAGGAGGGACAGCAAGGGGAAGAATTAAGAGAATGTTCTGATTTGCACTAGCAAATTCATTATTAAGTCTGTCACTGGTTATTGTGAACTATTCTTACAACCACTTTAAATCATGCATCTTTTGGTACCTAAATAATCAAATCCCTGGATTAGAGGACTCAAAACTGAATTTTAGAAAGTGCTATAATGAAATACCAGCACTTTTTTTCCTTGATAAAACTAGAATTGGGGGAAGGAATTCACACTGCTATTTTTACATTCCTGAAAAAGTCCTAGAATATAGGGAGAACAGACTTTTTTTAAAGGCAGCACATGAATACATAGGACATTTTTCCCTCAGAAGTGAAAATTCACATGAAACATTTAAATGGAAAAAATATAATTAAAATCTAAGTTTGACACTAGCTGTGATTTCAAAAATTATACTTCAGGATATACCCTGAAACTGGCCTACAGAAAGCATTTATATTTTTTAACTTCAGCATAAATGACAAAGTAGAAAATTAAGCCAATAACGAATAAAGTTAGTGAAACAAACACTTCCTGTTTGTAAAAAGCTTTTACCCACACACTATAAGACTAGAAGACATACTCAACCCTCAGAGTGCAAGTAAGCGCACACATTTCAAGCAGCTTGGCTTTCCACATTCGCATGTTACCTGTTTCCCATGTACCAGAAAAGTAGTAATGTGAGGGGCTATAGAGGAAGAAAATTTCTGGGTAAATGCAGCCCCGCAGCGTACCGCCAACCTGGGTGTGTCAGTGGAAAGTCATAAAAGGGAAAATACAACAAATAAAACTTCCAAGAGTTTATTTTTTTACAAAAACTCAGAAAACTAAATATTTGGTAGTTAACGATTTATCTAACTATACAAGTAGAATATAAAAAGCAAGAGCAGGTTTACTTAGCTAAAAATAAGACTAGAGACCACATTTGAAGCTTGCTAGATAAAAAGAACATGTATTGGCTCAAATGCCTGCATTACTACACTGAGACTTTAGAGTAAAAAATTTAAGAAACTACAGAATTATTCCATTATTTCTTTTGGGTAAGAATGGTATATTTACTATAAAAAGAGATGAAATATTAAGAGACTGTTTTTTTTTAGTCCTCTGATTTTAGAGATCAGAAATCTGAGGCTCATGGATGTTAAGGGAATTTATGACATTGCCTAAGACTTCTTTAAAAAATTAAATAATAACTAGCCAATTTAAAAAAATATATGTACTGTTATTTTATATTCTAATAAAATTGCTAAAGTTGCATCAAAACGCAAGGGGCCCTATCTTCCTCATTATGAAGTTAAACAACTTTGTTTAAATGTACATTTATACATATTTATTATTTGCTTTTAGTCCCTGGGAAGAGAATTTTTATGTAGAAAAAAAGGTTGTTTTTCAGGAAGCAGTTATAATCACTGTGCTTGGTCAAACTTAAAGTGATGAGAGAACTACCTGTTAAGTAGAATATTTTTGCTTATCATTAAATGAGACACTGGCCACTTTTGTCAAGGCCTTCTATGATAACGGAACAGGTTTTCTGAATGGTGGATGGAGGAGGCAGAGCAGGAAAGAGTCACTTGGAATCATTCCCATGAACCCTTTCCTGGTTCATTCCCCATGAAGGTCTTTATTCCTAGTTTTTTCTTCTAGTATCTTGACACAGCCATGCTACAGTGGAACACAGGCATGTCCTAAGAAAGTGCATAGTCTTGATGCCATAAGCTTGGAATTTAAAAATAAAAATTAGGATGAATAACCATCTCTAAAACTGGTCTACTGTCTTTAGGATACTGCATATGACAACACAAAAATAAAATGACAAGGACACTAATACAAACCAAAGCTTTTTGCTGCCAGCTCTTCTATAGACTCTCTCAATGTGATCAGAAACGGTACCTAGACATTGGATAATAGAGTCTTTGTTGAAGAAAGCTTTTACTTAAGTGCATAACATTAATTCCCCTTTAAAAATCACTTACAAACTTTCATTTTGTTCTATAGTTAACACTCTAATGCATTAAGGTTTTGAATAATCTGATAATTTTAATATGTAACCCAAATAAATAGAATGTCCCTAGCATTTATTACTATTTAGTCTGATCATGTATGATCTTGCTACTTATTTTTTGAAATCCAACTTTTTTTTTGGTGGAACTGGGAATTGAACTCATGCCCTTGTGCTTGCCAGGCAAGCACTTATTCTGAGCTATCTCTCCAGTCCCCTAAATCCAACTGTTTTTGAATATATAATATAAACTTTAATAGCTCAGTAGAATAAGAGCTAGCCTGGCAAGTGCAAGGACCTGAGTTCAATCCCCAGGCCCACCAAAAAAAAAAAAAAAAAAAAAAAAAAGCAAATACTATTTTAATTTACTGTAGAAAATAGAAAAACAATATAGTAAAATAAGTACATAAAATTGAACAAATATTGTAGACTCTGAATATAATGACTTTTCATTTATTTGTTCAATGCATGTTTAGTGGGGCCCCAGTTTATGTATGGGACTATTATCATCCCAACATACTCAAGCCTTTACAGCACATAATGAGGTTTTCCTTCTCAGGCTGCAACGCATATGTGGTCTGGTCTCATACCTGCTTTTGACAGTATGTAAATACTGTAACAGGACACAGCACCAAAAAGGAAATGCAAGTGAAGAATAAGATCTTTAACCTTTTGTTTTAACCTTATTTTTATAGTCATAACAAATTAGATACTTATATTTAGATTTTGTAGATGCTTGTGATTTTGAATTTACCATATGGCTTTACAGATTTAAAATATTTAAAGCCTTTCAAAAACCTAAGTAAAAGATGAATATTACTCCCAACTTTATAAAAGTGGTTTAAAAATAATTCTCTCAGTACTTTTATGAACAATTTGATATAAATTTTATTTTATTTAAAAGCCCTACTAAAAATCATTCTAAATTCTAAGTTTCTAATTGAAATGTTAAAGTTTTTTAAAGCCTAATTTTTTTTTTTTAGCTCAGCTAAAGTTTAAATGTCAATGACTGTTCCAAGTAAAATTAATATGCTGTTATGCCAGGTTTGGTGGCACACACCTATAATTCTAGCATTCTGGAAGGCTGAGGCAGGAGGATCACAAGTTTAAGCCCAGCCCTGGCAACTTAGTGAGACTCTATCTCAGGATAAACAATAAAAATGGCAGAGGATATTCATCACTGGGAAGCCCCAGGGCTTAACATCCAGTATCTCATAAACATTGTGTTTATACTTTATAGTTTTGATACTAATTTTCTAATTAGAGAACAATTTTGTTTGAAATCTGTTTAATTCTCAGTAAGTTTATCTTAGCTGCAATAATACAAAAATTAAGTAGACTTCATCCGAATAAATACTTATGATTAGTTCATTACCAAAACTACAAATATTGTTAATTACACTTCTGTTTAGGACACTAACCCAATTTCCAATTCTAACCAAATCAACACACACCTCTTAATAGAGTATATTCAAATAAGTTGAAAAGTTTTAAGTAGCTAGACTAAGTACTTGAAACACGTTCTATACCATTCTGTAGTATAAAATGCTGCATGAAGCAGACTATGATGGAGAACTCCAGGATTTTCATACTTCTATATTGGGTCACTACTACAAAAATTCTTGAGTAATGACCTAACATACAAGTAGGGATTTTGGGGATAATGTGGCTTCATTTTTAATGCAAAGTGGACATAGACATGATTTGACATGATTTATTTGTATTAACTATATTCAGTGCACAATTCTCTTCAATGCCATTTGCCATTCCAAATGGCTGCTGCAGATCATGGAAAAGCTAATTTGTATAGATATAATTATTCAACATTATTCTGGAAAAAATTAGACAAAATAAAACTGGAAACAGAAACTGTCAATAAACAACTATAGAGTCATTAGAGGTTAACAGTCACAGGCAGAATCCAGACTTCAACATTGTTCAAACAACCAGTGAAATAATCAAGCATCTCTGCGCTAAGGCCGTTTAGCAGTTTGTATATCAGCCTATTCCACTCTCAGGGTATGAATGAACACTCTTGAATTAAAAGAAAAAAGGTTTACTGGAGGAGGAAATAACTTTTAACATTTTAGGGGATATATTTTTTGTGTACTTGATATATGTTCAAACATACAGAGGTCCTGTTATTTAAAATGTTCTCATATGTATGTTCCCTTACCTTCCATTGTAATAAAGTTAGGGCCTTCTCTTTTGAGCAGTATACCCAGCAGGACGGCTTGGCTAGCCAAACAACTGCAGTCCTGAAAACATAAATGAACATCAGGAACTAGAATAAAATGAATACAAGAGTTACTGTAAGGGATAACTAATCATGCCACCACATGATACAGAGAAAAAATTCCCTGTTATGAAATTGAAGAAAGATAAAATGTCACTCATATAATAAGCATAAGATGACATTACACAACTATTTATCTTAGATACTGTGGAGCTAGAGGGTGGACAAGCTGGCTTCTTGGGGTAGCAGGATATAATCAAATTTTCCAGGAAATAAAATAAGCAATAAACAGAAAATATGTTGTCTATAAATACTGACACTGATTCTGCCATTCTCTTGAGACCTGGCCAGGTCATTTAAACTCTTACTTCTTTATTGTACTTATTGGTAAAAGGGAGATCAGGTTGCTATCAGCCAATCATGAAGAGATGCATGACAGGAAGGGAAATATGTAGAGTGCTTATTATGGGTTAGGACACTCTACTACGTGTTTTATGAATATTAATATTGCATTCATTGTTAAGTAGAATTATATAATATAATCAATAACAAGGACTGATAGATAATGTCTAGAAGGATATGTTCTAGTCTACATTCTCAAACTTATATGTCTTGACAGCACAGTGTGCACAGTTCTGCCAGTAGAATTTCATTTCTTTCTTAAAAATATGAATAACCTGATGAAAGATAAAATAATAGGTTGCTAAAATATACATGTGGTCAGAGTATTGCTTTCTTCAGCAACAGAAAAGTCTTTAAGGAAGCCCTGGGACTCAGAAAGAGAGAAGACAGGAATGGAAATGGGAGAGAAAAGTCATTGAAAGAAAATTCTGAGAACCCAAAGTCAACTGTCACTGACTTCTTTAGGACTCATACAAAACTCTCATATCTAACATAATCCCATTTATCTGTGCTTCTTAAAGACAACCATGTTAATTTTAGACCAAAGGAGCAACCTCCTATAACAGCCATATGTCCACTGAGAGGACAAGACAACAAGGCTTCACTCTGTCAGTGCCTACTGTGGCAACCTCCCCAGGGCTTATAGGAACTGCATCACCCTCACATTCAGTTTCTGAAGAATTTCATGGGTGGATTTGCTTTTCCACTCAGCAATGGTGATATGTGGCTGCTGTTTCAGTTCGGGATCATCAGGGGTGCTGCTTTGTCGTTTGACTTTTGAATGTTTGGGAAATTCTAGCTCCTCAAAACTCTTAAATTCTGGAAGCCTGGAAATGAAAATGAAGTGCTTCAGATTTCCTGATTTTCAAGTGCAATCACAAGAAGTGGGAAACTAAATAACCAAAAGGTACTTACTCTTCTGTGTCACTGATTCGTAGGAAGTCAAGTTGTTCTACTACAGCTCCTGATATTAGTGTCTGAAATGAGATAAGAAATTATTCTAACCTTTTAAATTCAGCAGTCCATACCCCCAAACTCTCTGCATATATTTTTAATACTTCAAAATTAATATATACATCTAGTAACAAGTTCATGAATCATCATCAATAGAAAAGTCAATATGAGATGAATTCTGTTCTCAGAATTACTGGTTTTTGTCTTTAAGTTAGAATTAAAATAATTCAGTACATATTAAAATAAATACTAAAATATTCACATTGTTTTGTAAAAAGACAATGTGAAGTTACATTTGAATTCTGCTGGTACATTTCAATGACAAGGTATGTCAAACCTCCATTTTTTAGGATTGTAAAAGAACTGATTAACCCATTGCTTCTTTGTACAGTGGCATGTGGCAATCAGCATGTGATCATTTTATTTTTCATTAGTTCTTTATTTCATATTGGGCAAATTAGGTGAGTCTGAATGTAAACCTAGTTTTTGTTTGTCCATGATTCATGGAGAGTGGTACAAATGCCTGATAACCCACAATGGGTTTTAGCATTATTTGTCACTTCCAATTATCTGATCAATTGCCAGAAAATTGAGAAATATACTGTGCAAATAAACTATAAATTGTTTCTAAAAACTAGACAATTCTTTAATTAAAAGTGTCTTACATGTGTTATTGTTCTAATTTCTCTCTTTTTGACTCAAGGAAAGATATCTTTGTTCACAAATACCCAGAGTTGTTCTGCATTCTCTTCTATTGGAAAGTCATTGAGTAGCTCCTCAAAAATATTTGCTTACACCTGGCAGGATGGGCATATTACCAGAAAAACAGCCTAAAGCCTCTGCACAGAGTTTGAGTTCAAGTTGACTGAGGCCAAATATGCCTTTCCTGCTCAAACTCATGTCCCCATCAAGTCACTTTGGCCGTGAGCTCCCTGACTGCAGACTCTGCTGCTGGGCAGAGGGCAATGCTAGCATAATCAAGCTTTGTTGAATAATATGTCCTAGCATGTAGGCTAACAGTTCTATACTTTGCTCTTTAATAAACTAATTTGTTACACAAATATTTATGAATATGCACCATATACTAGACTCTATACTGGGTACTGAAGATATAGCATGAGCAAAATAGGTAAAGTCTTTGCTCCTTTGAAACTGACCTTATAAATTATGTGTAAGGGATGGTATGTGTAGGAGACAGACAATAAGCAAAGTATATAACTAGAAGATGATAAGTGCAAAATAAGAAAGTATTGCAGGGCTGGGGAGATAGCACAGTGGCATACGTGCCTGCCTGGCAAGCACAAGGTCCTGAGTTTGATCCCTGTACCCCACCCCCAAAAGAGAAAGTATGTGTTAAGTGGAAATGAGGATGCAGGAGAAGAGAAGTACCATGGCACATAAGTAGAAGAATATGTTAGCTATGTTACATAGGCAATCACAGAAGACCACTCTGATAAGGTGACATCTAGAATCTTAAGGAAGAATGGCAATCAGTGATACAAAAATGAAGGAAGAGGTGCAAAGAGCTGAAGAAATACAATGTGAGGTAAAACTATGCTTAATATGTAAGCAATAAGGAAGAAAATATGGTTGAAATACAGCAGTCTTGTGAGGTAACAGAAGATGAGGTCAGGGATATAGGTCCAGTCCACAGATAAAACCCAGACTGAAGAACTTTGGTTTCTACTTTGTGCGAAAGGAAGTCACTGGAGGCGTCTGCTAGGTGATATAATCTAACCACCTCTGTCCAGGCAGAATATGAAGAAGCTGTATATCTTTCAATACAAATTTAGAGGATAACTGCAATAAGCATTGGTAAAAAATGATGGTAGTGTGGATCATGATGTTGGTGCTAAAGGTAATAGGCAGTGGTTAAGTCTAGATAGAATCTCAGGGGAGAGACAACAGGATTCAATGATAGATCAAGACTGAAGAATACTCAAAGCTGATAATCAACACTGAAAACATTAGAAAAATCATTTTATTTAACATTTTCCTTTATTATCCTACTCACCCTATACTATAATTCTGTTCCTATACAGTAAATGTTCAGTCTGTAAACAAGCGCTAAATTCCAGTAACAGTCTCTAGAGCTTTTGATTTAAAGAAGTCAGTTGGTTGTAGAGGCTCTTAATTTAGCTTTGTAAAAAAAAAATACTTATAATTAACTTCCTAGGCATTAATACCAAAGTTCTGATAGTAATCATATAATTAATGTTACATGTTTACATCAAATGAAATGTAATATTCAAAAGGCATTCTCATATAATATACTCAATCATATCCCATGAAGTCTTTTCCTATTCAACATTCTACCTCAGGTTTCCTGTCTAAGGTTTCCTGTCACTGCCTACCTGGCTTGGGTCTTTGTTGGGCTCCCCATCTAGACCAAGTCCTATGAAGTCAAGAACCTTGTATATATTTTTCAACTCTAATTTCAGTACCAAGAGTGAGACCTCAATACTTATTTTCTGAATCAGTATACCAGTATTTACATATTGCCCTGAAAGAGTAGTAAGCAGAGATGGGAATACATGGAGGTGTAGAGTTTGGCTCGAGAGTTTATAAGCCATGAAATAACAGACATGGGATACTAGTTACACATAAAATAAAGACAAGAATTAGAATTTGACAAAATGCCAAAGAAACACACAAGGTAAAATTTATTCCAATCCTAGAGGCTTCATTACAGAAGAGAATTGATTGACCTAGGTTATAAAATTCAGGTATATGCTAAGGCTATAGCTCAGTGGCACAAGTGCCTGACTGGCAAGTTCAAGGTCCTGAGTTCAATTCTCAATACCAAAAAACAAACGAACAACAGAAAAGGAAATAGGAAAAAATTATAGAGCAGGGGATAGCTCAACAGTACAGCACTTGCCTGGCAAGCATAAGGTCAAGTGTTTGATTCCCAGTAACCCCCCTTCTCAAAGTAAGGTATAACTTTAAAAAAAAAGAAAAAGAAAAATGCAACTCTGAAATATAATAAATAACACAATAGGGGAAAAGTTCAAATTATGTAAAAGATTTTGGATGTATCCAGCATATCTGAGGAACGAAAAATGTGGTCAGGAATATGCATGGAGTGATGTTCTGGAAACAAAGTTGGGGAAAGAGGCTGATTTTGTCCAGTAGTGACAAAATCTGCAGGTCATATGCTAAGGAAATATGAAAGGCTCAAAATAAAATCAAAGAGGAGCACAAAGTTGTCATTTTGACTCATATTACACAGTAGGTGAAAGGGCAGTTATGGAGGACAAGGGGATTTTTAAAAATCAATACAGGATGTGAAGGACTGGCCAAATAAATAACTCAGTGGATTAAAGCACCTGCAAGCAGGCACAGGGGCCAGGAGTTCGATCCCCAGGCCCTGTCCCTGGGGTGCACTGAGAGGGCAGTTGAGACTGGGCGTGGTGGCGCATACCTGTAATCCCAGCTCTTGGGAGGCTGTAAACAGGCGGATTACTATGAGTCTAATCTAGTAGTGAGACCCTGAACACCCTGAAGACACTTCCCTAAAAAGTACAAAAAAAAAAAAAAAAAAGAAAAGAAAATACAGGGTGTGAGTTCTGCATGACAGAGTTCTAGGGACTGGTGGCGTAATGCAAATGCACATAAAAATGGCTATGTTAGTAACGTTTATGTATATTTACCATGATTTTTTAAAAATGTAAAAGTATATATTTATATTCACAAGGTCTTCCAAACTATTGCTGATTTAGATGACTAGTAATTATAATCCTAAAAAAGAGCAGTTATATTTAGGCATGTGTACATATCATATTTGGGTCAACCACAGACAGCATGTATGACAGTGGTCTCATAAGATTATATTAGCACTGAAAAACTCCTATCATGTACTGATGTTGTAGTTGCATTGTTTGTGGTGATGCTGGTACAAAAAACATACTACTGGTTAATGTATTTACTGTACTATACTTTGTTCTTATTTTTGTATTTAGGACAGGGTGTATAGGGTCTCACTGCATAGATCGGACTCATAGTGATCCTCCTGTTTACAGTCTCCCAAGTGCTGGGATTACAGGTGCATGCCACCATGCCCAGTCTCAATTGCTGTCTCAGGATGCTTTGGGGTCAGGGCCAGCATGGCAGGCCAGGGGATCAAACTCCCAGCTCCTGTGTCTGCCTAAGCAGGCGCTCTAATCTGCTGAGGTATTTGGCTGGCCTTTGTACTATACTTTTGATCATTCTTTTAGTGTAACCTTTCTACTTATAAAATTAACATATTTACTATAAGAGAATATGCTGTGTTCTGCTGGTAACAGCCTCCTACATCTTACAATTATCCTGTCTTTGGTCATGTCAGGACATCTAAGCTATTCAGGTTTGTGTAAAGATACTCTGATATTTCTATAATGACAAAATTATCTCAAATGCAATTGTGAGAATGTATTCTCATGAAGGATGTTTAAAATATGGAAGCAGCTGTACTAGGAATTGAACGCAGAGGTACTCTACCACTAAGTCCCGTTCCCTTTAATTTTGACGTCGAGTTGCACTAAGTTACCCAGGCTGGCCTCAAACATGTGATTTTGGAGCTTCTTAGCCTTCTGAGTAGCTAGGATTACTGCCACGCATTCCCACACATAGCTAATATTTTGTTTTTGATAAAGTACTTTTAATTTTTTTAAAAGAGAATGCAATAAAAAAAGGATGATGTGCCTCCATTTATATTTTTTTAAGATGGAAAATTTTCAATCATGAAAAACAATACTGTCCTCTCTCTAACTTTTATTTCTAATTTAATTTTATTTCATTTTCTGTATTTAGGACAGGATGTACAGGGTCCACAGGGTCTTGCTATATAGATCAGACTTGGTGATTCTCCTGTTTTCAGCCTCCCAAGTGCTGGGATTACAGGCATGCAACACCATGCCCAGTCTCAAGCTGCCCTCTCAGTGAGCTCCAGGAGTGGGGGTGGGGCCAGCTAAGCAAGCATGTCTCTTTAACTTTTAAAGCACAACTAAAAGTGATATCAGAACAGGAAGTGGACATCAAATTCTGCAGCTTAAGGTACAATGATGAAATTTCAGGTGCTTGCACATAAAGAACACGGACCCATGAATGGGAAGTGATGAGTTTGTCTCTTCTGCAATGATTGTCTTAGGGCTGAAGCAGTCATGTTCCCACAAAAGGCTCCAGTTTGCTATTTGTAAATGAGGCACTTGGATGGACTATCTCAAGGTCTTGACCCAGCTAGAGCCTTATGTACAAGGATATATAAAAGGAGAGTTCCCAGTTTCAGATGGAGAAAAAGGATTTCTTTCTAACTTTAAAATCTTATGCAGTACTTGACATTAAAATTCAAAATGAGAAATCTTTAATTCACTGCCTTAAAAAATATTAGCCATCTTTTGCACTTTTTGTCTATGGTTCTTCAAATGAATAGAAATGCTTGCAAAAATGGAAGAATATTGAACTTTAAAGCAATGTAAAATATTTTAAATATAAAGCTAAACTTAGCCCAGAAATGAGAATTTTTCAAATAAATTTTTAAAATGCCACACTGATAATTATTATGATAATTATTATATGTTGAAAATGAAAACAGAAAACACTTTAATGTCTTTTAAAAATTATAATGACATTTATTATGACTTTTACATTAAATCAACTAATACACCTGAAATGTATTTCTGTGTGATATGGTAATGCTTTATGGTAATTTTCACCAAAATATTTGTTAAGTAAACTATAAAACCATCAGCTTATGTTTCTTTTAAGATCCTTATGTCATCAAATAAGGCAAGCAAGTACTACATTGTTTGACTTCTCAATTTTAGTGACTGAAGTTTTCATTTAGAACTTGTATTCTTTTTTATAGTTTTGAAGTTCCTCATAAAATTTTTTAAAATTGTTATCTGATATCTTTCTTCTTTTTTTTTTTTTTTTAGTACAGGATCTACAGGGTCTCACTACCAGACTGGACTCTTGTAGTGATCTTCCTGTTTTCAGCCTTCCAAGCACTGGGATTACAGGCACACCACCACACCCACTCTCATTCACTGGCTCAGCTTGCCCAGGGGGTGGGGCCAGCATGGCACGCAGGGGATTGAATCGAGGTCCCAGTGTCTGCCTAAGCAGGTGCTTTAATCCACTGAGCTATCTGGCCAGCCCTAAAGTTTATTAATTTTTTGGGGTGGGGGGCTGGCTCAGCTAGTCCTGGGGACAGGGCTGGCATGGCATGTGGTGCTGGGAATCAAACTGCAGCCCCTGCACTTGCCTAAGCTTGCCTAAGCAGGCACTTTAGTCCACTGAACTATCTTGCCAGGCTCTGATTTCTTAAATATACTGATTACAATTACTTTAAAATCTGTCTTTCATAATATCTAGGCCAAATGTTGGTCTATTTCTTTGTTTCATCTTTGTTCTTTGTTTGATCACTTCTCCTAATTTGCCAGGTAGTTTTTAAATAAAAGAGAGAAACTGTTCATGAATCGCTGTAGAAATACTTTCAGGGTCTGGGTGATGTTTATACTTTTTGCAAAGACTGAATTATTTCCAATTTCACTTTTAATGCCTTTGAGGATTCACTGAACAGCTTCTAAGTAGTATCTATTTCCATTTCTTTAATTTTGAAGAAACAAGTGGCCTTTTTTCATGTTAGAGACACTGTACTGAATAGTATAAAGCAAAAAAGCGAGTAGGAACCGTAAGAGTCAAAGGTGAAAGTTCCCATACTTTCCAGTGGGACCCTTGGGTCTTTTTTCCCACTCTGATCTCAAAACATGGAAGTAAACTGTACATCCTTTGTTTATGAGACCAGATATTTATTTCTGGAGAAACTGAAGAGCCTCAGAGGAAAAAAACCAAAAACCAAAAAACAAAAAACCCTCCAGATATTCACACTTGAAGCTTCCCTCAAAAAGCCTTTGCCATTATACATTTTTATAAGAGACTTCATCAAGGTATGAATCTTTTTTCCTCAGTACAGCTTCCTACAAAATTTTTACTTCTTTACCTTTTATAAATGAAGGGAAAGGGATGCTGGGTATATACCTTAGGAACATAGTGCCTGCCTGATAAGGACAATTCCTGAGTTCAATTCCTGGTATATATAAATAAATAAATAAATAAATAAATAAATAAATGCAAGCTAAAGACTATCGATACCTAGCAAATACCTTCAACATGAAAGACAGAGAAAAAGAAATCTGAAAGAGAATACAGAAGACAGAATTTTTTAAAAGGTTCCTGTTAATATCCTCAAAACAAAACAAAACTGCAAAGAATAACATATACTAAACAAAAGCAGATTACTATGAAGTCAAATGCTCTATCATTGAACTATACCCCCCAAAAGCAAATTACTATAAAAAAGGAAATTTCAAAAATGGTTGCCAAAACTCAATAGAAAAGCTTCAAGATAAAAATCAAAGAAATTGCCCAGGAAGCTTTACAATAGGACAAAGAAACAAAAGATATGGGAAATATTACCATTTAGATAAAAATCCATCTGGTATACAAAGTGCAACCACCAGTCAATAAGTATGTAAAGATGTCATTTATAGTACTACCTATGTAGGTCCTTTTTATCAATTTTTCTTTCTTACTCCATATTGAACTATATACTCTAAAGACCCAATATGATCAAAACATTTATTTTACAGGAAATGATATGTGTTATCTGAGTAGTTTAAGTTAAAGGTCAGAAGTGTCATTTTTAGCCTGAGACATTTTGCAGTTAGCCTTTCAAGTTAAAACTCCAAAGCCCAGAGCTTGAAAGAAAAAAAAAATATATTCCAAACAAAGGAAATGATGGGAGCAGCAGGTAAAGGATACAGTAATTAATTTGTATGGGTGAAGTACAATAGTCACTGAGTTGGAGGTAACTGTGGGCAGAGTAGCTGCCATGGCTAATAGAAAATCAAAGCAGGTTTCTAAATGAATAACTGTATCTGCTAATCTGAGCAACAGATTTGATGATAAAATAGATAATACATCAACCATTGTTAATCAGCTATTCCTGGTTTGAAAATCTGTAACATATGTATTATTGTATGTTGCCCTGTTTCTTTGTTTCTGATTTTTCTTATTAAATTTTTAAAAAAGTAACTATTAAGATAGTGCTATGATGGGCCGGAGAGATATCTCAGTAGATTAAGCACTTGCCTGGCAAGAGAAAGGTCCTGAGTTCAATCCCCAGTACCGCCAAAATAAATAAATAAATAAATAATAATTCTATGATATCTAAGCAGAATAACAACCTCATGATTGAATGCTATAGTGGACTAAGGAAAAGAACACTGGACCAAAAGTCACTCAAATTGTCCCTAACTGCCTAGATAATGTAGCAGGTTATTTCATCACCATGTTGGGGACTAAAGTTTCTTCAGATGCAAATGTGAATTTAAAAATGAGCTAGTAAAGTCTATACTTTTATGTAAGAAACACTAGCATAATCAAATAAATTGATAAGGTGACAATAGGAATAAGAAGATAAGCTGTAAGTCAAAGAAATATACTGTAACTCAAAAACCTTAAATAGAACAATATTAAGAAATATAGCTTTATTGTAGATTACCTCTTCTGAAAACAGAAATACTGAAATTTAACAGCCTACCTGTAGACGATCAACATGAACTTTGACTCCTCCAATCACTCCTTTTTTAAAGGCTGCCAGCATATCTAATATAGGGTTGAACCGGCTACCTCTGAAAAATGTAATAATAAAGAAAACAAGCATATTAATATAGGGAAATTAATAATCTAATATTATCTTTTATATGTGTAAAATACTATGCCACATACTAAGACAGATGCAAAATACAAAAAGCCTTGCTTCCAGAGGGTTCACAGTGTTAGTGGCCATGAGATAACACACTTCTTTCATCAACCTACCTTATATTGTCTTCCCGAATGAGAACAAGAAAGAGTGGACGTCCATGCATTTTCCAATATTGTTTAATGAACTGTAGTGCATTCTATCAAAACATAAGAGGGAGGCAAGGTTTAATGGCATAGTATCAAGGAAGAAGATCCTTAACCAGGAGAGGCAGAGCCAACAATACTCACATATTAATAGAGGATATAATCAAAATCTAGATAAATTAGAATATTTAGAAGTATGGAAACCATTTTAACAGAATTTACTCTTCAAAGTAATCAAGTCATCCATGTTTTAAGGCTCTCTTACTGCAAATATCTGTGTATTCTCTTGCACTTGCTCACGTGATTTTTCTATCTAAAAATAAACTTCAAGAATGGTGCCAGGGAGAAAAAAAATCATTACAGTGTCATTACTCAGAAGAATAATTTTCACTCCATGTACTGTAGATTTATATTATAAAAGGTAGCAGAGATTCAACTAAATCTATTCAAAGCATCAGCAATGTGGAAGGAATTATTTGACTAAATAAGCTATCTGGTCACCTGTCTACCACCAATCTATCTAGCATATCAAAGATTTATATAATACTTCATAAAGTGCTAGGTACCATTCTAAATGTTTTACATATACTAACTTATTTAATCCTCAGAAGAGCTCTAGGATGAATCAATTTTACAGATGGGAAGACAGGCCACTTGACAGTTAAATAAACTGCCCAAGAATACACACTGGTAGGTGACAGATAAAATTTTAACAAATGCAATCTTGGCTATGGATTTCATACTCTGGAATATGACACCAAGATTCTCTACTTTGAAAGAAAAAAGGGGAGTACAAGAGATTTTAACTTACAGACTTATGAGTTAAGGTCTTACTGGGCATATTTCCTAAGACAATTATTTTGCTAATTTGACTTTTGTTCAAGAGATAAACAGGGCTGTCAAGATAGCTCAGCAGAATAAGGGCCTGCTTAGGTAAGCATAGGGACCAGGCTTATATCCTTAGTACTGCACACTAAGCTGGCCCTGCCTTCAGGCATGCTGAGCTGACCACTGAGATCGGGCATGGCGGTATACACTTGTAATCCCAGCACTATGGAGGATGAGACAAGAGGATCACTACAAGTCCAAGTTGCGTAGTGAGACCCTATACCAAATACATAAAAAATGATAAACAATTACTGTCATTTAAATACTTTAAAAATAATCTCCCACAGATTATGGGGCCACAGAGGAAAGTGATCAACGATGTAGAGTATGCCTAAAGAGAGTCACATGGAGAGAAAACATTCTCTCAGGCTTTCACAGAGAGCAAATTGGTCAAGCAGTGGCCGTAACTCATCCACATCGCTGACACGAAGGATCTACAAACTGTGGTACAGGGTTCAGGGTAAATCCTGAAGGGATTTGACTAACTTTGTAAGATACAAAAGTTACATTTCTTGTTATATAGGTCTTGCTTTATCTTGGTCTTAACCATACAGCAGAAAAGCATAAAAATAAAGTATAAAAAGTAAAGTCATATTAACATACTGAACTGAAAAAGGCTCAAGTCAACAACTTGACATTGCCAGTCCTACAGATAACCCACTACTATTATGGCTTACTGGACAATACTAGATTATTTTGCTGAATTCATGCACCTACAGTATTAAATGGCAATGGGATACCCATCTCTGACAAAACTAAACAAAAAAGGGGATACAAGTGAAGAACCATTTTGTATCTGTATATACAAAATAGGATAGATATATCCTATTTTCTTTCTCTTAATTTAATGAGAAGAAAGATTTGTACTAACAGTGTTTGGACAGGATATCATGTCTGCATCTTGTACTATGAATAACCACTAAGAAGACAACAATATGCAATGTATTAATTATTGTAACTGTCCCACTAATCGGTTTTGAAACTGTCTCATTGCTATTTGTTTCTCAATAGAATTAATTTTAAAAATCTCCCACTTTTATATATCCTTTTACTCAGTTTGAAGAAAGTTAATACAGCAATGTCATATAACATAGCATGTCTTTATTTATAGAATTTGCAAGACAGATTCCATTTATTTTTCTAGTATATGTGCTGCCAAAGCAAGCACAATCCATCTACTATTCTAATGCTGCAAATAATCTAAACTCTTTCTCCAAAGGTGGTATTTTCAAATTTTATACTGCATTAATTCATTGTAATAGACACCAAAGAGCACTCAATTTAACAACATATGATAAAATCAATGGGAACAAAGTTATTCCATTTCAACCAAAAGGTATTATGAAGCTACCTTTATGTCATCTATCAGCAGTAAAACATCTTGAGACATGTAGAAATCACTTAAGTCAAAGATGATTGGGTAACAAACCACAGTTTTCCCTAGAATGCGATAAATCTGTAAAGAGAAATAAAAGCTAAATACAAAATATACTAACGGCAAAAGTGGAGTACCATATATCCCACCAAAAATTGAAACTGATGATGAAATCTGAGTGAGCAAATAGCTTATGAAATTAACATAACATTAATTGTAAAGTTTCTTGATTCAATTGGCGTGCTAATAAAGTAGACTATCCCTGATTAAATCTCCCCCAACAGGATGGGTAAAGCCTATGTTTTAGTAAATATCATTATAAATAAGGTATTTTATGAAGCCTAGAAATAACACAGCAAGATGATAATTTATTCTCAGAAAGCTTCTGTGATATAAGATTTACTTGCAGAAAATGATAATTCAGATAATTAGCTCAAGTATAAATAATATATCATTTTACCAGGAAGTATTACAATATAAATGTTACTCTTTCAGGCAATTTTCTGAGCACCTTTGATGTTCCAAGGCAACCAATCGGCCTATCTGGCCTTCCAGAGAGTCCCAGCTTTTCATTGATACCCAGGTGGAAATAAGCCTGTAAGACACAAGTTTTGAAATGAGATAAGAATCTCATGATTTGCTTTGTTTTTTTCTTTTCTTACCATTTTCTTTCCCTGACTATGGGCCTGTTAATTTATGATCCTTCAGGAAGTATCAACTTAGATTTCAGGCTACTGAGTTTTGACAGCAAAACAACTGTCATAAATGTACAACACGTACACGGCTTTGACACATAAAGAGACTCAAAAGAAACAAATGCTTTCTGGGTCACTAAAAAAACTGATTACTTTAAGAAGGCTATTTGCCCAGCCGGCCCCACTTGCCTGGGGTGCGCGGAGACAGGGATTGAGATTGGGTGTGGTGGTGCATGCCTGTAATCCCAACTCTTGGGAGGTTGTGAACAGGTGGATTATTAGAGTCTGATCTAGTAGTGAGACCCTGAACACCCTGTAGACCCTTCCCTAAAATGCAAAATAAATAAAATCAAAAACAAAAACAAAAATATAAATAAAATACAAAATAAATAAAAAAGCATAAAATAAAAAGGCTATTAATCTACTAGGTTTCCACATTCAAGTATTTCCTACCAAAATGGAATCATTTGTATGATTTTTGTGATTAGATGAGTTTTACAAACAAAAGTGTATAGTTTTGTTTACTCTAACAATATTTTATGAAATAATTTGCCTTTGGTATATGTTGAAAGGGTATAATTTATTGTGTAAGCCCAGGAAACACCAAAAATATATGTAAGAACATAGATTTTATGTTTTCTTTTCTTCTTAACCAGGAATCAAACTCTGGAGCTTGTGCTTGCCTGGTAGCCACTTGTGCTGCTGAATTACATCCGCAGCCCAGAGACACAGACTTTAAAAAGAATATAAATGTGTATTCATATTACACACATATATCAATGTATGCATATGTACATAAATGTGTTCAAACAATACATAATTTGTATTGGGTCCAATTTTTAAACTTAACATTGTAGTGTCATAGTTTCCAGACATTAATATGAACCTGTGCACTTTCTATACTGTATATTTCAATGATGAAATATATTAATTCAGGAAAAAAATTGCAGAAGTATAAGAAAACAGGGAAATATGCTACAACACAGCAGAATCTTCTAGATTTCTGTAAGTTAAAGGCAGATAACTTCAGAAATCCTGGAATTAGGAATTAATTAGGAATTAGGAGTTAATTTAATTGTGGAGCTGAGCAATTTAATCCAACCTAGAAGTCCCCTTATCCGAATTCTCTGATGAAGGTATCTCTCATTTTTTATCTTACAAATAATTCAATAATATCTTTGGAGAGTGTAAAGTTATACCCCAGAATAATCGCTTAGAGTTCTTTGATCACAGAGAATGTATCTTCTCTTTGAAATAAAATGCCTGGCTGGTCACTGCTAGAAATAATGTACAAATTGACATTGGCATTTGCACTGTATAAGCCTCTTTGTCACTATCTTAGGTCAAAGTTGTATTTCGTTGTACTTTTAAAAGAATACTGTGTTAAAATACTTTGCAGGTGAGCATTTTCCAATACATTAAGTGGCTATTTGTACGTTCTACAATTTTTTTCATGTGTTCCTTTTCTATTTGGTGCTTGTCATTCTTTTTGATTTATGAAAGATTTTGAGACTATTACTCTTTGAATTAAATACTTTTACCCAGTTTTTACTTCTTCAATATTGTTATGAAATGGGAGAATGACTTCATGATAGGTCAAACATTTCAGATGTGGTATTTCAATATAAATACTTTTCTACTAGGAAATTTTATAAGCCCCTTTGATGTACTAGGTTACTTATGCTACATTTAGCTATTTTTAAAATCATTTTCTTACTGCTTTTAGGCACTGCTGTCATTCTAAGAATGGACTTCCCCACCCACTAGCTATAAAATATTCCATTTTTCTTCCAGCGATTTATACTTAAATTACCTTAAAATATTTAAGTTTTTATACTGTCTGGAATTAGATGAGAGGTAAAAACTGAAATTTTCCTAAATGGACAATCAAACCAATTATTCCTACACAATTTCTTGATTGTGACATGAACTGATTTCAAATAATAGCTTCATTATATACAAAATTAATGTGTTACCAGAATTCTCTGTTCATTCTGCTAGGTCAGAGTTAGCTCTTCTTTTTCTCCTTTAGAATTGCACATTCTTAGAAAACAAAAGCATCCCTGACTTGGCACTGTGCCCTGCATGTAGCTGGTATTCAGGACATACTTGATGGATGAATAAGGGAACAACTGAATGTCCTCCTGAGCTACATGTGCTATGAATACTGATTCTGCAATAAGTATGGCGTAAGCCAACTGGAAAAAAAAAAATCCAAACAAACAAACGAACAAAAAACCCCTATAGGGATACACAGAACAACCCTGAAACTAGTATATAACACTAGATGTAGTCCCTTTTCCCTCCAAACCTTACAGTTTTTCAGAAATAAATACCTAATATTTGACATTTACATTTCAGAATTTAACCTAAATTATTTTACATTTGTTTAGAGAAGTCATTATATAAAGTAATAATGCACAATCTAGGAAGAGCTGTTTTTTAAATACTACTGTTTGTTCTAGTAAAAGATTGTTCTCAATATTCTGAACTATGGGACAGCAGGTCTCTGCTGAGTAGACAGATCTGCAGTCTAAGGTGCATAATTGCTGCCCCCACCTCATGCACATTCACACTGTTTAAAGTGCTGAAATACATAGCAATGACCAACCACAAGTAAGAAGGTGCTTCACACTAGGTCTGCAAGTAAGAGTACAACCCTGTATTCAGATAGCCACGAAGCAAATTACACCAGAGATATTACATCATGAACGCTAATTGCATACGATAAAACCTCTGCTCTCTGTTATTTTCTCTCATATCCTTTTCAGTAATTTGAATGAAAGAGACTGAAGCTTCTCAGACAAGAATCAGCTACTGCTGTAAGAATATGTGCATTAACTAAGACTTAAAGAAATACATTTAGTTTCAAAGGACTGATTCATAAGGAGCAGTATGCTGCCTGTACATCTAGAGGAACAGTCCTAAAAAGCCACTAGTTTGAAATACAGAGGCTGCAGCCACAAAGAATAAGCTACCATACTGATACACACACAGGGTAGCAGGGTTCTCCATCACATTTTTTTCTTTTTCATCCATATCACACATCCAAAATGGAAATCATTTGTGAATACCATTGAATACAGTACAAAGTAAATCAGACCCTCTGTAAGGCTTCACCATTTCCATAACAAAATGCTTTCTACTGCCTCTGTGATTCCAGTACTTTTTACAACCATCTATTACAGCAGTTATCAAAGTAGACTATAATTATTATTTTCACACCACTAGACTCGGGTCATCTGAGTGCCTCACAGTACTCTGCACTAGGAGGTGTTTGCTAAAGAATGAATAAAATACCACATCCAAGTAATTTGCTAGTCATGTTGACTTTTCACATCTTGACTCCATGCTATCTGGAACAATACATACTCATCTACCATTAGAATTCTGCAATTATTAACTAGACTTGAAAACAACAGATTTGAGTTAATTTATTTTAAGGATATGTTTATTAAAGACTAAGCTTTGTTATCATTCTTTAGAACTTTCAGTGAGAGACCATAAAAGTGTATCTGCAGAAACAACCTACATCTGAGTAAGTGCACTGTGTGGGAGCCTTGGATGTTGTATAACCTCTTGGCTTTGTCACTTCTCCATTCCCTTTTGGTCTCATTTATATTCCCTCACCATAAAATATAGCTCTTGACCATTTACATCATGGTGTGATTTTAAAGTGTAAACTTTTTAAAGGATTTTGTTTCAGTTTATCTGTCTACTAGAAATGTGGAAGTTGGCTCTAAATTTGTTTGAGGGAGGTTGAAGGATCTGCAAGAGCTGATGCTATTGGTATCTCACTCCCATGTGTTGCCTTGTGCTGCTTCTCGGCAAGGTCCAGCCTGATGGTCAGCATCGGTTTTCCCGTGTACTGTGTGCCCCTAGCCTCTGAGCCTTCATTCCCTTATAACATCAAGGCTTTGACCATAACCGTGTATATGTAATATCAACCTAAAAAACACAACCTTGATCACTTCAGACATACTGTTGTAAACACTTCTGCCAAAAACTGGGGAATTTGTTTTTAACAAATAATAAATAAAAATGGTAGTTTATGAATAACCAGTGAAAGCCAACAATTTCCTTTCTCTAATAAATACAAACACAGGTACTTCTTGATCTTCTTGGAGAGCAGTGTATGCAAAAGGCTCAATAGTTACCCTTTAATCTCATCCCAAATAAGTATGTTCTACATCAAAGATAAACTCAATATTTTAAAATTTCTTTGAGACCCAACAAACTAAAGAGGTAGGAATTACTTCAGAATTCAAATCATAAAGGAAGTAGTGGCTATCAAAAGTATGTAGATATGAAGTTTTTAAACAGTGAATAAAGGAGAAAATTAAATAAAAACATAAAGGATAATTTTGTACATGATGATTACAATTAAGACAAATTTGTTATTTAAGTGCTTAGTTTAGTAATAGATTTTGATAAGGAGCAGAAATCAACAAGGCCTATGCATATAATTTAATCTACATAATGCAAGCATTTTTTAAAGTTGAAAATAAGTGGGCTTCTCAAATAGAAACTCTGGGATTAATAATCCCTTCTCAGATTTGGATTTTAGTTATGCATTTGTCTATATATTGAGCCTTACCATCAAGCTTTACTATCTCCGCAAAGAAGAAAAATCCAGAATCACTTACTTTTACAAGCTCCTGCTGAGGCCATATCTGAATGGGCTCTACCTGTTGAGGAGTTTGAGTTTGAATACCATATGTATTGAGAAAAACTTGAAGGCTAAAGAATTTAGGGAAAAGAACAGAAACACACTTTATGACAATGCATTTGTAGTTCAGGAAATGAATGAGGAAGATAAAAGGCAATGGCATACTATTAATTTGTAATATAAGGAATATATCACATGCATGGGAGAGGTCCTTTAGATGCTTTCTAAAGGATCAGATGAGCTTTAGGGATGATAAGGGTGAATACTAATTTTGCGAATCCCCATAATGCATCTGCATTACTTTCTCAAAACTATACCCCAGCCAATATCATCACTGGTTACAGTTTTTAATATTCATATCATCTAAGACAAAATTATTTTTACCCGGAAAAAAAAGGTTGTGCTGGCACTTAAAATGACACAAAGAACATCCTTGAAACCATGTCAAGAGTCCTATGAAATTAAAATCTACTCCCACGGGCAATATGGGAAGCATAAAGCAATCATTTCCCTCCCCTCCCTACAAAAGAATACAATGCCCATACCGTTGGCTTTCTGCTACAAGTGCTACATGAACCACCAAATCATTCTCCAGTGGGCCCTGTAATATAAAATAAGGGAAAAAAACATTTTAAAAGATCTGGCCACCATCAGCTACAATGAGAATCAAGGACAATATTAACTAAGCAGTTCATTAAAATGATGGACACTCACTGGCTCTAAACAGCCCTCTTTCTTTCCTTGCTCGTCACTGCCTACTAATCAATTTGATGGTATAGACAGAGTAATGGAACACCAAGGAATGGAAAGTCATAAATCTCATTACTACCAGAGGGGCTAGATTGTCAGGGCTATTTTGAATGATGCATAAGAGTAGTTTGGGACTGAAAGTCATTTTCTATCATTTAACTCTGAAAGGAAGAGGAGGAACTAAAAATAAAAGTCCATTTATATATTGCCTGTAAAAAAAATGATTGTGAATTAAAACCATTCATTTGACATCTTAACCACACATTAAGTTATTCCCTTTCTTGTTAGCCAATTTTCCTTTGGCACCTTTTACCTTGAAAAAGCTTTATTTTAATATATAGTTCTTTGGTAGAAAATGAAGTATCCAGTTGACTATATAATTAACATTATGTTCATTAAACACAAGCTGTTGGACTTAATAGTTTTAATCAAAGACAGTATTGAATATTTGCTACTCTTTTCTATGTGTAGAAGATTCACTATAACATATATTATACATTGTTAAAACCAATTTTAAGTCTGTGTATAATTAACAGAGAACATTAAGAAGCACCAATAGATTATACTATTAGGGACCTTTAAAAATACTGATCAAATATAACTTCTTTATAGTAATGAATCCAGCATTCCCAATAATAAGCTGTAAAACATCTGATTTACCATCAGTTCCTCTGTGTGCATTCACTATGCCACTATAATTTATATATGATGGTAGGCAAGAAACACCAGAATACATAAATCAGCTATAAATATACAATCAAAGGGATGGTTCCCAGAATCATCATGAAAATGCCATAACAGGCAGTCTTGCATATGATTTAAATGAATATATAAGAAAAAATATATAACAACTCCAGAGAAACAGATATACATTTAAATGTTATAAATTCTGTTTTTATTTAATAATATTATAATCAAGTATTTCTCAAAAGGATAAGAAAATTAATTATTCAAAATCTCATCAAGATTTCTAACAACAAAAGAAAAAATTAAGCTGATGATACCTAGTGCATTATTTATTTTTTCAAAAGTAGGATTACTCTTAGAATGGGCCACTATGTACAATCTTCAAAACAATTATGGAATTTTTATAAAGCAAGTGCAAACATATATGTACTACAATACAGATGCAATTTTAGCAAGAATAAATGAGACAGCTTACAGATCCTAATGAACAAATTGGTATTTTCTGTTTGACTCATAGGCCTGTTTAGGATAACATTGTTTCCGTTTTTCTGATGGAGTACTCAGATCTAAAGCAGCCACTACACGGTGAATCATAAGCATCGTTAGGGACTATTAGATGGCCCAATAATTCTTCAACTCTAAAAACACAGCATCTTGGAAATTTTGATTCCTAATCCATCTGCCATGGAGAGACTGAGCTTCCAGCCTGAGTGGAACTTCTCACCCCTCCCTCCTTAGAGAAGGACTCAGAATTCACAGTTCCATCACAATCCCCTTCCTTTCAGTCCTAAGTTAGAATCATCTTTTTTTGTTTCATCATTTTCTTTAAATCACTAACACTGTTGTCCAAACCACATGAAGTCTCTGTGATAACATCCCAATAGTAGCTAATATCTTATTTTCAGAAAGATATTTTTTCTAATAACACTGTAATATTTTTAGCTTTTAGGTTCAAATCTACCCTCACACATCTGTGCACACATACTCAAGCTATGTACAATATGAAGATTCTCCACTTTGTATGAACTGACCAACTGCATATCAAGATACAAGGTTCCATGTCAGATGTTGACATTGTAAAAATATGATCCAATGGCTAGAGGACCAAAAGACAACAATGCCTACTGGAAGAGAAAGATAACGGGGAAGTTTCAAATGTGTTCATTATTACACAAAAATGGTTTGCTGGTATTTTTTTTTTTACAGACCTATTTCATTAGAAACAAGTCTGCAGGGGATTACATAGTATGGGTAAGTCATATTTTATGTTAGGAATGTTTATTTTGATGGACATTCAGATGTTTACACATTTTCAGATCTGCAGAGACTATAATAATTGTCTTTATCTCAGAGAATGGCTGAAGACTTAAAGAACAAACTATTACTGAGCACAGTATTTGACACATAAAGTACCTGATAAAGCCCACTAATTCTCACTGCTGTTGCACTTGTAGGTATATTCATAGCTACATTAGACAGCTGCTCCTATCTTCCTTGTTGAGATGTGATGCTAAAATCAGTGTCATGCAAGATGGCACTGGCTTTTACCATTCTGACATACAAACCATCCACTTTTCTATTTTTATGTAGCTGTTTTGTTCCCAAAGAATTCCAGACATCCTTTAAAAGAAATTCTCAGGTGGAACAGCACTTGACTTCAAGCTGCTGTCTGAATATTTGTCTCTCCCACTGTCCAAATTCATGCATGGCATTTTGACTTTAAAGTGATGCTATTAAGAAAGGCAGTGCCTGGGGTTGGGGGGGCACTGAGTCATGGGGATGGAACCCTCATGAATAGGATGGGCACTCTTAGAAAAGAGATAGATGAGCCAGGATATAGCTCAGAGGCATGAGTACCCGCCTGGCAAGCACAAGGTCTGGAGTTTGATCCCTGGTGCAAAAATAAATAAATAAAGCAAGAAAGCAGAAAAGCAAGCAAGCAAGCAAGAGGATGAGAAAGGCCCCTTGCTCTTTCTACCATGTGAAGACACAATGAGAAGTCATCACCATGAGCCAAAAATAATCATAACTGAATGTACATACATTTAAATACAGGACAAAAATGTAACAAATCATATTGTTCACATGACTGAGAATCAACAACCTCCAATTAGAAATATTCTGGTTCAAAGTTCTCATTTATATAAATAAAGTTGAGGGTTTTTTTTTTGCATTTTTATTGTGGTAAAAGAAACATAAATTTCACCATCTTAATAACTTTTCATGTTTTAACTTGTCCACTAGATGAGTGTTACCTGTGTTAGAGTTGCAACTCATCTTGCTTAAAATTTTAAACTATAGTAATTAAGACACTACATGTACATTTGTCTGGCTCTAGTTTTTAAATTACTTAAATTAGGTCAAAGGATAAGGCTCAGAAATTTGCAACTGGGAGGTACAAATAAAACAATGTAATAAACTTTCAAAGGGTAGATAGAGACACTTCAATGTGAATAAGCCTTCAGATTTGCTTCCCTTTTTTTAAATCAACTTTTTCAGTAGATAATTCATTCATATGGTTCAAACATTTAAAAATTATGAAAAAGTTTTCAGGGAATGTCCTTTCCACCCAATCTACTCAGTTCTTCACCATCTAACAACGGGGCAATTTATATGATTACTCATCCTTTCTCAAGTTCCCTGAAACCTATAAAAGCAAGTAAGAATACATGTCCTCACATTTCTACACAAAAGATAGTGTACTACATTTTGCATTTAATAATTATACATCATGGTGTTCTTTCCATATATCCATATCCATATAGTATGCCTTCCTATTCATTCTATTTAATATTATATTTTGTAGCTATACCATACTTATTGATTTCAGCATTTTAAATTTTTAATTTTTTAAGAAAAATGAATTTTTTACTGAAATCTCTTGAAATGATTATGATCACATGGTGGCACAATTAAAAACTCCATTTTAATTTTACTCTTAAGAGACAAATAAATCACAACCCAAACCATCCAGAGGCATCACTATTACTGGATTATGTGAGTCAATAGAAAAGTATTTTCAGAAGGGTCAGGAGACTGGAGTTTTGGAAGTGGGGCAGTGAAAAGAGTATGAATTTTTTCTAGAAGAATGGCGAGATGTACAGTTGTTCACCACCAACTTATTTGTGGAAATAATGTAACAGCTTGTTCGTAAGATTTATCTCATTATTTTACTGCCTGTATTGGTTTTGTAGTTTGCTTTAGAATGTTCAGAATGTTAACACATCTTGAGAGTCTGCTATTTTCCATGTGTTACTCAAGTACATTGTATACTCTCGTAAGTCATCTCAGTAAAAAATTCAAGAAAGTGACATAGAGGTAAATTTGTCCAAGGTCACATATCATAGGTGATAGAACTTAACCTGACTGTTGATATATCCAGGTGAAATTTGTAAAACATATGTCATAGCATGTATTTCACATAATATGTGCTGTCACTAATGTGGCTTGTATTATGATTCTCCACAGAAACAGAACTGATGAGAATGAATA